ATTTTGAGCATTACTTTACTAGTGTGTGAGATGAGTGCAATTGTGAGGTAGTTTGAGCATTCTTTGGGATTGCCTTTCTTAGGGATTGGAATGAAAACAGGCCTTTTCCAGTCCTGTGGCCACTGCTGTTTTCCAAAATTACTGGCATATTGAGTGCAGCACTTTCACAACATCATCTTTTAGGATTTGAAATAGCTCAACTGAAATTCCATCACATCCACTAGCTTTGTTAGTAGTGATGCTTTCTAAGGCCCACTTGACTTCACATTCCAGGATGTCTGGCTCTAGGTGAGTGATCACACCATTGTGATTATCTGAGTCATGAAGATCTTTTTTGTACAGTTCTTCTGTGTATTCTTGCCACCTCTTCTTAATATCTTCTGCTTCTGTTAGGTCCATACCATTTCTGTCCTTTATTGAGTCCATTTTTGCATGAAATGTTCCCTTGGTATCTGTAATTTTCTTAAAGAGCTCTCTAGTCTTTCCCATTCTGTTGTTTTCCTCGATTTCTTTGCACTGATCATTGAGGAAGGCCATCTTATCTCTCCTTGCTATTCTTTGGAACTCTGCATTCAAATGGGAATATCTTTCCTTTTCTCCTTTGCTTTTTGCTTCTCTTCTTTTCACAGCTATTTGTAAGGCCTCCTCAGACAACCATTTCACCTTTTTGCATTTCTTTTCCATGGGGATGGTCTTGATCCCGGTCTCCTGTATGATGTCACGAACCTCCGTCCATAGTTCATCAGGCTCTCTGTCTATCAGATCTAGTCCCTTAAATCGATTTCTCACTTCCGCTGTATAGTCATGAGGGGTTTGATTTAGGTTATACCTGAATGGTCGAGTGGTTTTCCCTACTCTCAGGGCTACACACTTGCGCAAATCCAGATCTCACTGATTAGAAAAATATTAGCTTTTCCATGACACTAGATGCTTCCTAATGAAAGGAAACCCTTCTTTCCAGCATCCTGACTTCCTCCCTCCTTCCCTTCTGCCCTTCTGTTTCTTTTAAATATTTGTTCTTTGCATGTCTGAAATACACTCCTCTCCACTTCTCAAAGTGTCTCTCACATCTTCTAATAATAATATTGGTATGACTCTGCCTAAGTCACAAAGTCCTTTTTTTTTTTTTGAAAACAGACTTTCCTTCTCTCATTCATTCATTTTTGGCTGCACTGGGTTTTTGTTGTTGCGTGGGCTTTCTCTAGTTGCGGCGACAGGGGCTACCCTCTAGCTGCATTGCAGTGACTTCTCTCATTGCGGAGCATGGGTTCTAGGGTGCACGGGCTTTAGTAGTTGTGTTAGTTGCCCCAAGGCATGTGATCTTACCAGACGAGGGATTGAACCGTTGTCCCCTGTGTTGGCAGGTGGATTCTTAACTGGAAGCCTGGTCACAAAGTACTTTTACACCCACCATCCTGACACCCTCCGTAGTGCCCTCCTGGGTCTGGTGGGTACGATTACCCACTTTTTACAGCTGAGGAAAAAAAAAAACCAAACTGAAGCTCAGAGCAACTTCTCAGGGCTCACACAGATGCTGATTAAAGACTCAGGACCAGCCTCCTGAAGTGCTGTGCAAAGCTGTTCTCTACCAGCTCGGGGTTCGGTGTGTGGCTTTGGTCCTAAAGGTGGTGCTTTGTTTGATTTCTGCCTCGGAAGCCTTCTGGTTTTATCCTGCCTCTTCAGCAGACTGGCTGAGTAGTCAGAGCATCCGTTGTTTGATGTGCCCACCCCCCACCCTGCCCCAGATTCATTGAAAAACATTACTTTCTGTTCATTTTACAGTGACTGAGCATGATTCAGGTAGATTCTATCAAAATCCTCAGGAAAAAATAGAATGATCAAAGCCTAACAAGGTTGTCTTTGCAATGGGGCATGGAAGACGGTCTCCTTATGGAGATGAGGGATATGGGACCCAGTGAAGGAAAGCGCCCGTACCGGGTGGAGGGGGGTACCATCCACCCTGCCACCGCCCCTTCTCCTGGCTGTGGTCATAGCGCCTTGGTTGTCCTTTGGGGACACTCCAGTATTCTGGCCTGGAGAATTCCATGGACTGTGTAGTCCATGGGGCCGCAGAGTTGGACACAACTGAGCGACTTTCACTGTCCTTTGGGGAGCCAGCTACCTTTGCCAGAGAAAAGACAGGATGCTCAGTTAAATTTGAACTTCAGATTTAACAGCAGCAGCAGTTTTATTTTCTTTTTAGAATAATTAATGGCTTCTCTGAGTCTTCGTTGCTGCGCACGGGCTTTCTCTAATTGTGGTGGACGTGGCTACCCTCTAGTTGCAGGGCGTGGGCCTCTCACTGTGGTGCCTTCTCTTGTGAAGCACAGGCTCCAGGGCACGCAGGCTTCAGCAGTCGTGGCTCTCAGGCTTTGTTGCCCTACGGCATGTGGGATCTTCCTGGATCAGGGATCGAACCTGTGTCCCCTGCATCAGCAGGTGGATTCTTTACCACTGGACCACGAGGGAAGTCCAACAACAGTTTTAAAATATAAGTGTTTCCCACATACTGCATGGAGCATATTTATACTAAAATTTTATTATTCATCTGAAATTCGAATGTAACTTTGTGTGTGTGTGTGTGTGTGTGTGCGCGCGTGCACGCTCAGGTGTGTCCGACTCTTTGTGGCCCCATGGACTGCAACCTGCTAGGCTCCTCTGTCCATGGGATTCTCCAGACAAGGATACTACAGAGTGGGTTGTCATTTCCTCCTCCAGGGAATCTTCCTGACTCAGAGACCAAACCCACATCTCTTAAGTCTCCTGCATTGGAAGGTGGATTCTTTACCTCTGGTGTCCCTGGGAAGGCCTCAGATGTAACTAATTGGGCACCTCTGTTTTTATTTGCTGCATCTGGCAGCCAGGACACCTTTTAACTCAAATGGTGAGGATGGGACCAATTCACCCTCCCTTGGTTTCAGGAGCAGGAGGGTGATTGATCCAGGCTTGGCCAGGCGGTGCCTTCTACTCCTGTCATTCCTAGAGATTGGGTCAGAGATGGGGGTCCTGGAAATCTGACCTGCACCACTGAGAAAGACATTTGTTCTTTTTGTTGGGATTGCTAAGTGATGAAAAAAGTAGCTTCTGGGGTTCCAACCAATGAGAATCTGAATAAGAATGAAGCCAGGAGAGGACAAACAACTGAAAGATGTAGAGAAATGGAGAGAGAAGAGATTAAACTGTAAAGATGTTATTAGGGGGTCCTGGGACCCACTTCATTGAATTGTACCTTCAGTTAGGCTCCCAAATGTCGATGGAACAGTTGAGGACTCTTTGGATGATGGTGTGATTGAAGATAACAATAGTAACATGATAGAGTGGAAGGCGAAATCTTTAGTGGGGATGGCTAACTGTATGTGTTCACGCTCAGTCATGTCCGACTCCCCGACCCCATGGACTGTAGCTCACCAGGCTCCTCTGTCCATGGAATTTTCCAAGCAAGAATACTGGAGTGGATTGCCACTTCCTTCTCCAGGGGATGCTCCCGACCCAGGGATCAAACCCGCGTCTCATGCATCTCCTTCATTGGCAGGCGGATTCTTTACCACTATGCCACCTGGGATAACTCAGGAGATGGTTACGGGAGATATCAGTCTTACTCAGATGGTGGTTGAAGGGGTCACAGAGCAGAATGGTATGGTAAAATCAAGGGGAGCATGTGTTCTTGCTGGTGATGGCTCTGTTCAGGGTGCTGCTGCTGCTAAAGGAGATGAGGATGCTAGTGATGAAGAGTAGGATGGTGTTGGTGGAGACAATTAAACAAGGAAAAGAGTAGTTGTCAGCCTTAGTCTATCACCACATCCTATCAAGTCAACCACTCTCAATTAAAAAAATAATCTATTCACTTCTCCACCTACTCCCGGCTGCCCCACCATGGCCTGAACATCCAAACATCTCTTGTGCTTCTATGGTTAAGTTGCTCCTAATTGACTTCCTTGCTTCCTGTGCTGTCTCCCTACAGTCTCTGCTCCACAATATAATCGGTAGGGAGAGTGAGATGTTAAAAAATGTAAATTACAACATTTCACTTACTCTTTTCAAACCTGACCAGGAGCCTAGACTAGAAACCAGACTCTCTTTTATTGACAGATAGCTGATTTAGAATGTGGCCTTTTCAAAATTTTATTTACTTTTAATCAGAGTCTAGTCGCTTTACAATATCGTGTTGGTTTCTACCATACATCAATGTGAATTAACCACAGGGATACACAGGTGCCCTCCCTCCTGAGCCTTCCTCCCACCTCCCACCCCATCCCACCCCTCTAGGCTGTCACAGAGCACAGGATTTGCGCTCCCTGCATCACAGCAAATTTCCACTGGCTTTCTAATTTTGCATTTAGTAATGTATTAATATATGTTTCCATGCCACTCTCTCAATTTGTCCCACCCTCTCCTTCCCCCACTGTGTCCAAGTCTGTTCTTTATGTCTGTGTCTCCAGTAAGTGTTAGTTGTGTCCAACTCTTTGCCACCCCCATGGACACTGCTGCCTTGCAAATAGGTTCATCGGTACCATCTTTTTAGATTCCATATATATGCATTAATATACGATATTTGTTTTTCTCCCTGACTTACTTCACACGGTATAATAGGCTCTAGGTTCATCCACCTCATTAGAACTGACTCAAATGCATTCCTTTTCATGGCTGAGTAATATTCCACCATACATACATATACCAAACTTCTTTATCCAGTCCTCTGTTGCTTCCAAGTACAATGTTTTCTTAATTTCTGCTCTGCAGCAAAATGATTCAGTTACACACACATTCTTCTTTAAATGTTCTTTTTCATTATGATTTATCATAGGATACTGAATATAGTTCCCCATACTATGCAGTAGGACCTTGTTGGTTATCCATTAAAGAACTTTTATATAAAAAAACTGATCTATCTTTTTTCTCTGTAGCCAGCCTAGAAAAATCAACTGAAGGGGGAGATTTTGCAGAAAGAGTGGTTGAAGCTGGAGGGAGAGGCTACTGAGGATGATCTGCAAACAGGACAGGTGCTAGCTGTCCTTNGGCGGCGGCCATCGGCACTGACTTCTGGTACATCATCGACACCGAGCGCCTGGAGCGGGGCGGCCCGGGGGCGCGGGGCCCGGCGGGGGCCGCCAACCGCAGCCAGCTTGAGCCTCTGAGCTCGCACTCCGGCCTCTGGCGGACCTGCCGGGGTAAGGGGGCACCCGGGGAGCCCGGGCGGTGGTCGGACCTGTTGCTTGGCACGCACTGGGCTCTCAAGCCCCGGAGCCCGCGAAACGCGAGGTCCGGGGCCGGACGGGAGGTGGCCCGGGGTCCTAGGGCTGCCATCGCCCCTCTCAGAGGTGCCCGGCTCAGCCCACCGCTGCTCCGCGCTCCCACACCCCCCGGGTGGGACATCCAGGCGGGACGTGGGGACGAAGGCGCGGGCCGGGTCTGAACCCCCCCTCCCCAACCCACCGATTCCTCTGCCCCACCCAGTCCAGAGCCCGTGCACGCCGCTGATGAACCCCTTCTGGCAGGAGAACGTGACTGTCAGCGACTCGAGCAGACAACTTCTCAGTGAGTCCGGGGAGGGTGAGACGGGGGGCGGAACCGGGGCTGGACGCCAGTTTGGGAGCATTTATCCAAACAGGGGGCAGGGGCTCTGCGGAGGAGAGGGCGGCCGAGGTGGCCTCTGACACGGGCAGGAGCGGGGGAAGGGGTTTGGGAGAAGGAGGCGCGGCCCTCTGGCACCACGCCTGAAGTTGTGTGGTGGGGGATTCATTGGACAGACGGCGGCAGGCTCTCGGTGCGCCGGGCACCGGGGTGCTGCGCTCCAAGCCCCAGGCCGAGCGCTCAGGGGGCGCACAGGCTAGCTGGCGAGACCGAGGGGAAGTGCGCAGCTCCGTTTCAGAGTGGCGCGCAGCACGGGGGAGGGTGACTCGGGGCCCGAGGAGACCCCGTAAGCAGCCTGGGGAGCTGCCGGCACGCCCCGTGGTCAGCCCTCGCTGCCTTCTCGCTGTTCAGGACAAGCGCTTGGCAGCACCAAGGATGCAGCAAATATTGGCTGAAAGATCCGAGAGACGAAAACCAGGAGGCAAAGGACAGCTCCCCATCCCCAGGGGCCACGTGTCTGTTGTTCCTGGCTGACTTCCCAGAGCCTGGCACGGTGCTCCGAAGTCAGAAAAGACGGCAGGATTTGAGGACAGAATTCGGCCAAGCAAAGGGGGCTGAATAAACACTGGAGGGAGGAGGGAAAATCAGAGTCGTGGTTCAGTTCACAGGTGGCCAGACCCACAGCTGAACGCTTTCCGTTTTGGCTTTCATTTAATCCCCACAGCCTTCCTACAAAGTTCTTGTCATCTCCATCTTAGTCTTTACTTTTCCAAAGAGGAGACATGCCTAAAAAGAGGTACCATAGAAAGGAAATGATGAGGAAATGAGGACTGAGTTCCACAGACCTTGAAAAGTATGGGCAGCTTTTGATAGACTTACTGAGGGTTGGGCGTGGGACTCCTAGAATAAAGACCAGTCCCTGGCATGGCCCACCAGGGCTGCCAGGGCCTCTCTCCAGCCCCAGTCTCCCCTTTGCTCTTTCCTCTCTGGCTGTGTTGGCCATGCACCAGTTCCTGGAAGTTGCCACATTTCCTCCCACCACAGGGACTTTGCACATGCCATTGCCTCCACTTGGAGTCTCCCTGCTCCCATCCTGCCAGCTTGTCTTGATCAGTTCCGACTCACAGTACAGGTTGTGTGACATTTTTAGAGTTAAAAGCTGACCCCCTCACTAGACACTGAGCTCCATGCCAGCAGGGACCATGTCTCTCTTGCCACAGCTGGAATCTCAACATTTAGCACAGAGCCTGGGCTTCCCAGGTGGCGCTAGCGGTAAAGAACCCGACTGCCAATGCAGGAGATGCAGGTCCAATCCCTGGATGGGGAAGATCCCCTGGAGGAGGGCATGGCAACCCACTCCGGTACTCTTGGCTGGAGAATCTCATGGACAGAGGAGCTGGGCAGGCCACAGTCCATAGGGTTGCAGAGTCGGACATGACTGAAGTGACTTAGCACACACAGCATTGGCACAGAGTAGCCCATGAGCTAAGGTTGGCTGAGCAGGTGTGAGAGTGAATGCAAACTATTTTTTAGAGGTGGAACCCAGTCAATGTTTGTTGAATGAATAAATAAGTACATGAGCGAACCAGATTGCTTCTCTGAAGTCCACTGGTGTGCTGGAAAATGCTTAACAACTGGCTCGCTGTGGGAGGGGAGCATCTTGATTTGTGGCATTTGCCAACCTCTGTGGAGTAAATATTCCCACTTCGGTCAATTTCAGGCTGTCAACATGATGTCAACTGGCTCTGCATATTTCTGAAAACTTAACAGTTGACTGACTCAATGGTTATGAATTGGAGCAAATTCTGGGAGATGGTGGAGGACAGAGGAGCCTACTGTGCTCCAGTCCCTGGGGTCACAGAGTAGGACAGGACTTAGTGACAGAACAACTCTGATATAATCCAGCTCCAGCACACCGTGGGCTGCCCTCTTAGTTCAGTTGGTAAAGAATGTGCCTGCAATGTGGGAGACCCGGGTTCGATTCCTGGGTTGGGAAGATCCCCTGGAGAAGGAAATGGAAGCTCACTCCAGTATTCTTGCCTGGAGAATTCCATAGACAGAGGAGCCCCGCAGGCTACAGTCCATGGACTCACAAGAGTCAGACACGACTTAGCGACTAAACCACGACCAGCACACCACTGCGTGAAGTCCCCCTGAGGGAAATATCCGCTAGATGCTTGGAATGTGAGGGGGGTGGGTGTGGAGGAAAGGAAGGGATCTCACGAACTCTGTCCTCAGCTCCAAGTTGTACCAGGAAGACCTCTAGGCGTTCTCAGAGCATTTCAAGCATCATCAGGAATTCCCATTCAAAAACTCCTGTCATGTGTTAGCTAGCATGCTTCTGAATGGATCACTCTGGTCCACAGCGAAGGCTGGAGAATGTAACCAGGAGGTGCTGTGTCAGTTACTACTGCCTTAAAACAAAGTTGGATGTCCCTTTGCACGTGAAAATTGTGCCTATGCAGCCTATTTATTTATATAAAATTTAAAAATGTATTTATTTGGCTGTGCCTGGTCTTAGTTGCGACATGTAGGGTCTTGGGTCTTCATTGTGGCATGAGGGATCTTTTTAGTTGTGGCATGCAGGATCTTTAGTTGCAGCATGTGAACTCTTAGTTGTGGCATGCAGGATCTCGTTCCCCGACCAGGGACTGAACCCCGGCCCCCTGCAATGGGAGTGCAGAGTCTTAGCTGCTGGACCAGCAGGGAAGCCCCAGCTTATTTTTGTTTATTTGTTTAATCAAGTAAACAAGAGGGTTTTCCTATGGGGGAGGGGAAAAGAATAATCAAGAATTTTTGTCATAAACTGAGGGCTGGATGTCTAAGTCCAGCTTAGACCTTTACCAGGACCCTCTGTGATCCCGGGGTTGGTGTCTTAACCTGCCTGAACCTCAGTTTCCACATTTATCCAAACGAGAATAACCAAACCCTAAAGGGGTGTGGGGTCAGGATCCCACAAACTAGCTGGATGAAAAAATAGACTTTTACCTGGCACCCCGATTACTGCCTGGTTCTTATGTGATCTCCCTGTTGCATCAAAGAATGACTTGATGTAAACGTGCTGGACACGTACTAAGAGCTCCATAAACACTAGTCCTCTGTACCTGTCCTTCCAGCCTCTCTTAGATGCAGTCACATCTGTGGCCCTGTGCTGGGCTGGATGCTGGCCTTCAGCCTACTTGTCACATCAACAGGTAGACTGGACGGCTAACCAGTCAGCACTGGTCTGGCCGCTTCCTGAAACTTGATAATGCCACAGCCCTGCGTAGTCCAGGGTTTTGAGAAACAGGCAAAACCCACGTCCACAGTCTGTGCATCTTTTCACCCTCTGCCCCAGGCCTAAGCCCCAGCTTCAGCCGCCAGCTAGGCATGTCATTGTCGTTTAGATGCTCAGTCGTGTTGACTACTTATGACCCCATGGCCTGGACCATGCCAGGCTTCCCTGTCCTTCACTATCTCCCAGAGTTTACTCAAACTCATGTCCATTGAGTCGATGATGCCATCCAACCATCTCATCCTCTGTCGTCCCTTCTCCTGCCCTCAATCTCTCCCAGCGTCAGGGTCTTTCCCAATGAGTCGGCTCTTCACATCAGGTGGTCAGAGTATTGGAGCTTCAGCTTCAACGTCAGTCCTTCCAATGAATAATCAGGGTTGATTTCCTTTAGAATGGACTGGTTTCATCTCCTTGCTGTCCAAGGGACTCTCAGGAGTCCCCTCCAGCACCACAATTCGAAAGCATCGATTCTTCGGCGCTCAGCCTTCTTTATGGTCCAGCTCTCACATCCGTACATGATGGCTTTGGGCAAGTTCCTCTACCTCTCTGAGTCTCAGTTCCCTCATGGGCAAACTGAAGATAACTCTCCTCTCTCCTTATAAGAACAGTCGAGGATGACACGAGAGAGTGTATTTAAAGAGCCTCACGCAGTGTCTGGCCCCCTAAGTGTACCCTGAGTGCGAGCTGCTCTTACTGCCATGTACCATCAGAGAAGAGGCTGGCCCTTCAGACCTCATGCTCACTGAAAATCACCCCCAGACACAGCTTTTCCCCAGAATCTCTTTATCCCCAGGAAGAGTTTTGAATGTTGGCCAATTTCTTTTATTACACGAAGAGGCTGTGTTCCTCTTTGGACCTGCAGAAAAGTCATAGAGGACAGAGGCCAAGTGACATGCAGCATGTTCTGTGAGTCAGCCTTCTAGACAGACCCCCCTGAGGGCGTATGGGAAGAACCATTGATTTTTTTCTCCAAGAAAACCCATGCGGGCAGCTTGCTTCTGTACCCAGTAAAACTTCACCTTGCTTGAATATTTTATCTTCTGGATTAGCTCTGGGGATGTCAAGGGTTTGGTTCCCTGGCTAGGGACTGGGATTCTTTTTGGCAAAGAGAGCCAGTCTTCAAATTCAGCACAGTTTATTATTGTTACTTTTATATTTTAAAAATATTTTCTTGGCCCGGCTGCATGGCATATGGGATATTAGTTCCCTGACCAGGGATTGAACCTTTGCCCTTTGCACTGGAAGCTCAGCGTCTTAATCACTGGACTGCCAGGGAAGTCCCAGCACAGTTTAGAGCCACTCAGGCTAGTTGTATCAGGCTTTTGAAAGTAAGTGATGGAAACTCAAATCATAATGTACATGCATGCTAAGTCGCTTCAGCTGTGTCTGACTCTTTGTGATCCTATGGACTGTAGCCCACCAGGCTCCTCTGTCCATGGGATTCTCCAGGCAAGAATACTGGAGTGGGTTACCATGCCCTCCTCCACAGATCTTCCCAACCCAGGGACCGAATCCGAATCTCCTGCGGCTCCTGCATTGCAGGCAGATTCTTTACTGCTGAGCCTCCAGGGAAGCTCCCAAATCATACTAGTTGAAACAAAACTCGGAATTCCTGGTCCATGGAAATGAAAAGCTCAAGCCCCCCAGGATCTAAAGAGTTAAACAATTTCTTTCGTCTTCTCTCTGGGCT